TTATAATACATCAAATTTTCTCAATAAAATGACATAAAATTAGGATTCAGACCAAATATTTATGTATTATTGTAACCAACAAGACAAATTAAGTCATATATATGGATTTACTTATGATATCAGAATGATCCAGGTATCAAAATGTAGCTTTTAAAGCCAAGAATCTGAAAATGTAATTAGGTCATTTTGACCAAATTTGACTTAATCCTCATTTTGATATGATGGGTCACATATCGTGGAGCAGTTGAGAACCACATCTTCCAACTTATCATTTTATCATCATCATGAACCCCAAACTGCAGGAGGATAAAATGTCCACATTTCCTAACCCTGCTGCTCTTGTTGCTCAACTCTCCATGCTTGTATTTGTAATTATTTCTAGGTTTAACATGCGTTTTCCTTCCCATAGACACTACAACTGGACCAGTTCCTGTCCTCTCTGGCTGCACTTCAGAACCAGTTTGTGTTCAGGTGGTGCCAATGGGAGAGGTTTTAGCCTGTAGATGAGACTCTGCCTATGTCTGGGTGAGAATTCAACACACTGAGGTTTCTTTGTCAGGACGAAAATGGCTGAACTCTTCTCAGACTCATCTGACATTCCTGAAGCTGCACTGAGGGCCTCAACATCACCAAAAAAAAAAGAGGATGAGGTTCATTGAGGATAAACCCTCAATGAATCTTAAATCTTTGAACTTGTAAGAACCTTTCAGAACATGCACTCAAGTGCATTTGTTCTAAAAGCTCTAATATTTTAGCTGATAAACATTCAAATAAAATCTCTGCATGTTTGTTTTTTATGTAAAAGTTAATATTCAGACATTTTGTTACCAGCTGAAGTGAGGAAAATCATGAACTGCAGGACCTCTGGGACCCTGAATCTTCCAATAGCTGATATTCATTCATTTCATATTTTACATTTCAACTTTGAGAGAGAAAAATGTCACTGTTATGATATAAAAACACAAAAATTAAGATCTAACCAGCTTAAAGCATCACGAAAAATGCTTTCCTAAAACTGAATATAGCACAAATGTTCTTAGAAAAGTTTGTTCTGACTGATCATTAAATTCAAATTAAAAATACTATTGATCCCAAGGAGAAATCAGGTAAAGGTTCCTCAGCTTATATTCAATACAGGAAAATAGAAACATTTATCAAATAAAATCCCTTAAACTGAAAATCATTAAATATAAATGCAAAAATAAATAAATAAAAACAAGTAACAATTTAGAATTAGTTCTTCATAGATTTATATCAAAACATAAATAAAAAAAACAGAAATATGGGGCTTTGCTTAGCTTTCAGTTGACTCCATTTATGCTGCTTTGACATGGAAGAATGGACTTTTATTTTGACAGAAAATATTTTAGTCGTTGGTAATAATTTTTGGAAAACCAGCAGACCTAATGAAAAACTCTTCAGATATTTGAGCTTTAACAACAAACTTGAATTATTCCTGCCAACAGCATCTGATGCTAAAAATGTGTAAGAAAAAAATGCAACATTATATTTCTACAAAAACAAGTTCTGGCTGTTCTAAAATAGTATTTTTTTTTTACTATATTTCAAAGCTTTAATTCTAGATAATTCAAATAAATATTTACTTTTCCCCCTTTGCATCCTCAGCTAAAAGCAGCAGAACCAACCACAGGTTAACCCAGATGGTCTCTCCTCTTACCTTGACACAGGAAGTTCCCATGATGCTGTAAAATCTGTCTTACAGAACCAGAACAAAATCCTCAACAGGATTCTTCCAGGATAAACGTTCCCAGCGTAGTTCAGCCCAGCATTATTTCTGCAGTGGATCTCCCCGTTTGTCTTCCTGTCCACGTCCAGCCTGCCTCTGCAGGTTCTGTCAGGCTCCCCGGCACTGACTGGATCCTCTCAGTCGGTTTTGTTCACCTTCTCAACACAGTGACAAATACCTGCCAGAACGCAGCGATAGAGACAGACTCGAGCCAGCATCTACAGGATTCTTACATACGTCTGGGGGAAAATGCTAAGCCACTGTGCCATTTAAATGACTGGAAATTACTTAACTATTCTAAAAACCTTTGCCTAAAAAAGTTTGAGGGTAAAATCCTGAAACTGAATTGTTTTTGAGGGTGCTATTGTGCAGAATTACACCTTTAGATGAGTGTTTGTTGTTGGCAGAAAATGAAATATTAAAACTAAAATGAATAACAAATAAATTAGACATTTGAATAGGTCCCATAATGCTGCTCATAGAGATCTACTTTTTAAGGCTCCTTCACAACAAAACCTGGCAACTTTACATTGATATAGACGCGTAAAAAGGCCAGAAAATGTGACCTTTTGACATTATTGTGTAACTGTGACACTAATGTCCAACATTCCACTTTAGTTTTTGTTCAAGAAAAAGAAACACATGGACTACATGACTCAGAGGCAACCACGGTCTGATGAAATGAACATTTAATCAAAATTTGCCATGTAATTCACAAAAAATAATCCACACAGCTGATATTTTAAATACCAGGACACCCGTCAATCAATTTTTTTATTCCGACACTTGTCGACGATTCATTATTCTTTCTTTTGCCTCTCCTTGTCATCCTTCTTCTTCTTCTTCTTCTTTTTCTTTCGGTCATGGTGAGCATCTTCTGGGGAACGGGATTCTCTGCACAAATCAAAAATGATTTAAAACATGAAAACGTTATTTACGAACTCAATATCCTAATATCATGAGTACATTTGGCAGAAATATATTTATAATTATATAAGTTCTTTTATACCTCTCCCTCTTTTTACTCTTCTTTTTGTCCTCTTGGTCGTGGCTTCGTTCTGGGCTGCGATGGCGCTTGTGTGGGCGGTGAGACTCCGAGGAACCAGACTGTCTTTTACTCGTCCAGCGACTGACAGACAAATTACATCAAGTCTTTCGCACAACGACGCCTCTGTCTGCGCTTTTATTTATTTACTTGTGATTTTCTAATCAGAAAAAAATAAAATAGCTTTTTTTCTGTACCTGTGGGAAGAATGATCAGATCTCGAGGACTCCTTTTCATCTTCTTCTTCTTTCCACTGCCGGCCAAGTTCCTCTGAATGAACACTGATCACCTCTCTGATCACCTGTGGGGTTATTACCACAACGCCGCCTTTTAGTTTGTTCATTTTTATTTATGTTATATGGCTTAAATATATGTTTATCACACTTAAATACTTTAATATAAATATTGGTTGCCAACTTCTCTATGATTTTGAAAAATCTAGACAATAAAAACACTAGTAGATCTAGAAATTGACAAATGCATATGGACAGAATTCAATTAAACTCAAAGCAGGGTTCCCACACTTTAAGACAAGTTAAATTTAAGACCTGTTAAGACTTTTTAATGCCAAGTGAAATTAAATTTAAGACCAATTTCATAATAAACACAAATGACAAAAAAAACTGTGGCAGAAACTCATAAAACAAAGGATTTTTGGATGAAGTATTAAAATGTTGCTAATAGACCAATTGTTTTTATCCATATCTAACTATAGCAGAAACATTCTTAGCAGTCAGTTTTAAACTTAAAGTGCCCGTGACATCATTTTTTTCTAAGAAAAGTCAATGCATTTTTGGAAAGACAGCATTAACATATTACAAAACGAATGTCACATTGCTCAGATGGACAGTTGTTGAGATATTTGCATGTGAAATAACAGGAAGTGATGTCAAAGGAGTTCTCCTTTGACATCACTTCCTGTTATTTCACATGCAATAACAGAATAACACGTGTCTGCACGTGAATATTAAAAATATATATTTTTACCAATTATTTTAATACTTGAAACGAATTACAATCATCCTATGTACAAAGTGTTAACATTTTTAAGACTTCTGAAAGATTGATTTAAGACATTTTAAGGCTAATTAAGGCCTTATTTTTGGATTGATGGATTCAGTGACTTTAAGACTTTTTAAGGTTCTGCAGGAAACCTGTCAAAGTGAACAGATTTTTTTTACCTCAGTGTAAGACTTTTTGGTGATGTGAACATTCTTGGCTCTGTAGGACTGACGCCGTCTCTTGTAGTCCCTCATCTCAGCCATCAGCTCCAGGTGACTCTTTGGCTCATTTTGCTCCTCACCTGTACAAACACATAAATTACCATTCAAGTGCTCTGAGAAAGAAAATCACTTGTTCGTTTGTCAATAAAATAAAGTATTATATATATATATTCTTTTAAATGATAATTAAGTAATTATTTTACCTTTTTGAAGTTTGGAGACCAAATCTACGTAGAGATCCTCATTGGAGGAGGATGGTTCTTTCTGTTGGTTCAGGACGCTAATCACGTGATCGTAAAGAGCCAATCGGTCTGCAACAGTGAGGTCGCATACGGCTCGCTTGTGGTTCTGAGGCACATCCACAGGCTGGCCAGAGTACTGACCTGATGAAGGATCAGAGAGGTTTTACAAACCCTTAAATAACACAAAAACATCAGCTTGACATGAGTTTATACTATAACTAATTACACAACTCAATGAAGTCAAGAAAATATGTACTGACAAAATGACGCAAATATTTACTGATTCCTATACGATCTTATTTGCTATGAATAAGAATTGAATTTGCATTGTAATCACACTAACAAACAAATTCATCATATTTTATAACAAAATTAATTTGGTATGTAAATTCTAAAGTGGGTTTAAATTCATACAGTATAACTGGCATCACTATATTATTTACTGTACTATACGGTATTGGAGAGTGGAGGTGTGGCCAGGATGAGAGAACGCGACAGCTAGCATTAGCATAATTGATGCTACATGGAGAGTGACCACAGCGACGCTGATAGTTACATCTCTGAACGGTCTGAGGTGGGGTTTTTCACCCCCCTCCTCACCAGAGGCAGAGAGAGACTTGATCAAGTCAGCTCAGTCTGGGACTGACTCGTGTTTTCTCCCTGGATCAGGATCTTGAGCTCCAGCTCCAGCAGCCTCGGCTGAGCTGTCCGCCTCACACCACACCAGCCTCGGATAGAGGAGGTGGAGCGCTCCGCGACAGCCTGACAGAAAAAAATAAAAGCATACAGCTGCAGCTGCTCACAAGATCACTAGTTTAAATCAGGAATAAAAGTGTTGGGTCTTGTTTGACTGAAGTTCGGTCCGTTAGGGCTGCAGCTGCCCTGCTGCCTTTCTGCCTTTTTTCCCCCTCCTCCCCTCCTGCTGTGCAGGACGTACTGCTGGTGTGTGTGTGTGTGTGTGTGTGTGTGKGGAGAGAGAGAGAGAGAGAGAGAGAGAGAGAGAAGCGCAGCAGTCAGCTCTCTCCACCCGAGGCTGAAGGTCAACAGACGATCATGCTAAGCTTGCTAACTGTTCCACCCTCTGACTGCTGCAGGGGCGTGTCTTAGAGAGAGGCTTTTATACCAGAACACAGCCGCTGTGACGAAACCGTGGAGAAGACACGTCACCGTGGAGAGCCGTTAACCAATATGCAAATTAGCCTGCAGTACCACTGCTCTACCCATATGAGCAGCAAAAAGACGTTTTTAGACCAAATATTACAGATTTGAACAAATACACACAAAAACATCAAAATTAGCACAGAAACAGTACTATATAACATTTTAGACACATTCTAGACAGTTTATCAGCTAAAAAAAAGTTAATCTTGGGGTAAGTTACTCTTTAAATGAATAAACACAAATAATTTGCTGGATTTAAACCTCAAAGCATCTATAGTTTGTATAATGAGTTCAAAAATGCTCTTTATTTACATTTAGGTTAGGTTTTTTGATGATAATTTGATAGAAACATTTTCCTAAGCTAAGTTTTTACCTAATTTATTAGTTGACTCTCGGGAAAACAGTAAAAAAATCCTTTAAAGTATAATCAGCTTAATAAAGAATTGAAAGTGTGTCTTTTCAGTGCTTTGACTTTAGAAGATTTCATAGACAGAGAAAATGTGTAATCAATAATTTGCACACTCGCTGCAAATCTGGACCTTTCCCAACACGTAAAGGGAAAAGTGTGTTTTCCTAAGAGTCCCACATCCCAGCTCAGGGGTTTAAAAGGATATTATATTAAAAGGATACTGCACGTAATCAGGCAAGCCTGAACCAGAGCAGCAGAATTTTCTAGAGCCCATCTCCTCTCTAATACTCACCCTTGTGGCTGCAAACAGAACACACAACACACGGGTTACACAATCAGACCAAAAACCTGAGCAACATGTTGTTTTATTGAACACAGGAATGACAACTGCTGGAGGTACTGCCTCTAAAGCAGCATCCAATTCTGGACCACTATCCTTTATGTTTTCCTCGTTTTCTTTCTCCAAGACACCTGATTTAAGTTTCTTTGGCAGGTCTTTCTGTTCTGCAGAAGCCTGGAAATCACCCAATGATTTAAATAAGGTGTACTGAAGCAGAATAACCTCTAAAACATGCAGATAGATGTCCTCAGATCAGGATTAGAAACTGTTGTTCGGAAGTTTAACAGTTAAATTCAGAAAAACAGGAATTTAGTTTTGAGATGCACCTTAGTTAAAGGCATCACAAAAAAGTGATGGCTAAAGTTTGCTTTGACTAAAATCTCTTAAGATGAGCCGATACCTTGCCAGAAAACTCCTTCCATCTTCATCAGGGGAGCTGCAGATCTGGCCTGAAGGATCACCTGGTGCTGGGTTGATTTGTCTGCATCAAGAAAGTAAAATGAGGACAAGCGAAACCTCCAAAGTACTGTCCTAACAGAATGTTTTTACATTATTTTGATTTAATTTTATGATTAGTTTCACAACATGCTCAAGAGTTTATCTTGTGTGAACAACCGGAATTGATCAAACTAAACTGGCATTAAAAAAAAGGCCATTTATTTGCCACAGTTTGTCAATAATTGTCTAAAGTTTGAAGCATTTTTAGTTGAATATCACTAAATAATTGATGGGTATATTTTCACGAGGCTTTCAGTCAAATATAAAAGATCCACATAACAATCATTCTAAATGTCTTCTCTGGAGAATATAAAATCTCAAAAGGATGAATGAATACTATAAACAAAGATCAATAATGACTCACCCATTAAAAAGCTTTTGATGCTGCCATTTTCATAACACACAGAGGGATCTTGCATTTCTGCCTGCACAACAAAAATAGAAAATGTTTTGATTTAACATTGTGGGTATTACTAATACAAAATGAGTTATTGTTCCCAATGTTTCCTAGTCCTGATGGGATAGATTATTTATGGTTAACTACTCTAGATTATTACCTGCTCCTCAGCAGAGTATCCCAGTTTCCGGAGCTTGCAAGAGGTTTTGTGTTTCTCCATGGTTCTGACTGGGACTTTATGGTGGGGGTCATAGGGACACTGTTCCGTCAGCTCCTGATAATACCCCAAAACAAAAACACGAGTTTAACATGACATGTGCGACGTAGCATCACAAAAGCTGCTATATTTTCCAAATCCAATAAACGCATTACATAAAACGTAAATATTCGTCTGTAAATTCAACTCATACTTATTTTAATATATAAAGTAGATAGTTACCTGACTGAAACCTTTGTAGTCTCGCGACCACCCTATCGTTTCAAAAATTTCGTTTAATTGCTTTTTACACGTTTCAGTAAACTCCGACAGCTCCTGAATGCGGTCCAGACGGTCCTGAACACTTTCTGTTTGCGACGAATCCGACATTGTAACAAGTTTTATTTAAATAAGCTAAAACTTTTATTTAGAACTACAACCATTTCCATGCTACAACAGTGAAGGAAATCTGAGCGCTGTTAGCTTAGCTACTACCGCGCAGTGCGATGACGTAGGCGGAAACTCCGCGAAAACAGAGACGCGATGCATGCTGGTAGTTGAAGTTTTACTTGGTTATGGGCGGAATAATAAATTTCTTGCTGTTTTTTTCCTCAATATTTTACTTGATATAATTTGAGAGTTATATACTCTTTTTGTTTTTGCTCCAGCTGAGTTATTTCTTTGTTGTTGTTGTTTTTTTTAGAATTTAATTTGTGGAAACATAACTATCTATTTCCATCCATTATCTATACCCACTTCTTCCTTTCAGGGTCACGGGGGTCGATGGTGCCCATAACCAGGAGTCACAGCAGGGGTGGGGTAGCCACACACTGGACAGGTCACAAGTCCATCACAGGGCCACACACTGACAAAAAAGACAAACAACCGTTCACTCTCTCACTCACGTAGGGACAATTTACAGTTACTAACTAACCTAACAGTCATGTTTTTGGTGTGTGGGATGAAGCCGGAATACCCAGAGAGAACCCACGCTAAACACAACTAGACCCATCAAATTAAATAACACTGATGTCTGGATATTTAAAAATATAAGATGAAATTATCTTTCAAATCACAGTATAAAATAAGATGTGATATAAATAGAAACTGTTTAAGTCACTTTTTATTAATGACAGACATTATTTTGTTTACAATTCATTGTCACAAAACAAAAAAAGTTACAATAAATATATGTAATACAAACAAAAGTGAGGAAAAGCTTTGTTTGGAGCTCATAAATCAGAACACTCAGGTTTTCTCATGGGGTACAGATGCTCATGTTGTAAAACCTCAATGTCCAGCAAATCATCTGCCTGTACGTCCTCCAATCTGGGAAAGAGAAAATAAAACTTTAACATAAATTTACACAGTATATGTGTGTTTACAAAATAACGTTCAGGTTTTTAATCAAAAAATCTGAGTTAAATACTCACATTACTTCTAATTCTTCTTCTACAACAACTTCCTCCACAACCTCCACTCCTACCACAAAGTTCCTTCTCACTGCAGATGCAAAAAGTAGAGACAAACAGTTACAGCTAAACTCAGTATTATTTCCCTTTAAAAATGTCACACCAGACTCAGATTGTTATAAATTAATTAAAGGTAAATTAAACAGATTGATAAAACTGGGAGAATTGGAAAGTGTCTGAATCAATTCAACAAGTGCACAAACTCACCTCCATAGTGGATGTGTGGAGGTTCTGCCCAGCAGGGGGGGAACTTGTGTTCTTTTGGTTCTAGGAATCCATTTTTCCCCATCCTCAGTCCTTCACAGCAACATCCTCCAGTGTAATATTGTGAGACTTCTGCGTAATCAGTGGTAATTCCTTCCATTTGATGGTGTGCCAGATAAACACTTGGGTCACATCCAGTCGGGCTCGACGTGGTGCATAACTCTGAGTGGATTGGCTGCTCATCAGAGGCCCACTGAGCATCATCAGCCCGACTTATAAATTCACAACAGCCTAATGAAAAAAGACAGAAGAATAATATAGTCAAAAACTATTGAACAGAGGATAAGCGGAAGAAAACGAACAGACGAACTATTGAACAGAGAGGAAACAAATGGTGCACGACTCATGAAGGGGGATTGCTTTTAGTTGCTGATCATGTTTCTGAACCATCTGTTTCCTGTAAATGTTGAAAAGACCTGCTGGGCTTGGAGCAAATCCAATGGCATGCTCTCACAAGAGTCCACAAGCTGGTAAAAACAAGGCTTTTGACGTAAGCACAAAATAAATACAGAAACAAATATATTTAATGACAAAGTTTATACTTCATCATCATCATCATTGTTTATTTATAAAGCACAATAAAAACCAAAGTGCTGTACAGGTGCATAAAATAAAAACAATGAACAAAGTACAGTAATAAAATGAACAATAATAAAATGAACAATAAAATTAAACAAAACAGCAAAGGCTGTCCTAATGATCCTGCTCTTCAGACTCAAATTCCTGTTTAAACAGATGAGTTTTTAACAGAGACTTAAACTCCTTTAGAGACCCAGCAGACCTCACAGACAGTGGGAGGTTGTTCCAGAGCCGAGGTCCTGCAACTGAAAAGGCTCTGTCTCCCCTGGTCACAAGCCGAGACCTGGGAACAACTAAAAGCTTTTGATTTACACATCTCAGGGATCTATTTGGAATGTGAGGCTGTAAAAGCTCAGTGAGATAATGAGGTGCCAAACCATTTAGACATTTAAAAACTAAAAACTAAACCTTAAAAACAATTCTAAAAGAAACAGGCAACCAGTGAAGAGAATACAGAATTGGAGTGATGTGTTCGCGACGTCTTGTCCCTGTTAATAAACGGGCAGCTGAGTTCTGAAACAGCTGTAGACGACGAACCAAGGATTGATCCATCCCACAATAAAGAGAGTTGCAGTAGTCCAGTCTAGAAGTGATAAAAGCATGAATAACCCTCTCAAGTGCATTATGAGGCAGATAATCCTTGACTTTACTTATAAATCTCAAATGATAAAAGCTAGACTGGACTACTGCACTGACCTGTTCTTTAAATTTAAAATCAGAATCCAAAATCACCCCAAGAGTTCTAACAGACACACGGCCAGACAGAGGGTCCAGTGGTCCAACAGCAATACTGCAACCTGTCAGTTTATCAGAGTTACAAAATAAAATGACCTCTGTCTTTTTATCATTAAGATAAAGAAAGTTCAGGTCCATCCATGCKCTCACATCTTTTAAGCATTCAAGTAACCTATTTACAGACTGGGATCCGCTAGATCTTAATGGAAGATAGACCTGAATGTCATCAGCATAAAAATGGTATGACATGTTATATTTGTGAAAAATAGATCCTAGGGGGAGCAAGTACAATGAAAATAAAATTGGCCCCAATATGGAGCCTTGAGGTACTCCACTTGGTGATATTGGTGATATTAATAATGCAATCCAATCAGGAAGGGGATGCAAAAGAACCAATCAGTAATCACCTACCTGCAGTGTTACGGCAAGTCAGTAAAAACTCTCCTGCCTCTTCCTTCTCTTCCTCTTCTTGGTGGCTCAGCATGGCTGAAGCAAGTCTCCCTGAATCATGAGGAAGTAGACACACCTGAGGTCCAAGTGACTGAAGGCAAGAGTCACAATTCGGCCGTTTGTACATCCCAGCACAGCTTTCCATGCGCTTCACAAGAGCTGAACTGAACCGTCTCTTCCTTTCCTTAAAGCTTCTGATACAAGTGATGTCATTTTTGGACTGAATTTGGACACAGATGGAGTGACTGCAAGTGGCCCTCCAGAAAACAAGCTGATAGGGCAGGTTTCCTCTGCCGCTGATGTGATGGCTTCCAATAAAGGATCGTTCCAGTTCTCGTCTCTGTGATTTAACCTGCTGGGCTATATCACAAACAGACAACCTTCTGTAATCCTTTCACCATTGTGGGCATTTTGTTCTTTGTCGTGTTGCTTAATAAGGAAATGTTTGTAACAGAGTGTGTGAGTTTTATCAGAAGCATTTCATAAGCTGTAATTTCTTTACAAGTTAAACTGGATAAAGAATATATTGTTTTAAGTTTTTTGTTGAAATTCTCTGTATAATAGCTGCAGGTATCATTGAAAGTAGTTGTGTTTTATTTATTTGCTGTAGGTCAGGGTGTGTAGCCTGTGTCACATTATGTTCAATATATTGAAAAGACTCAAAGTCCAGTCCCTGATGCTCAACAGTTATTTGTTTCGACAGTGCACATTTATCATCGGTCTTGGTTGAATTGGTAGGTGTTGGTCCAGTTATGATCACAAGTTGGGTAATAGTTGTGTTATCTATTGCGTAATAACTTGTTGAGGTTGTAAGGTCAAAAGAATGTGTCATGCATGTGTTGAAATCTTAACGATGACCTGGATACATGTGTTTTTAAGCAGAGGCAAAGTTTTAGTAAAAAAAAAAAACAACTTAATTTATTCCATATCTACATATGGAATAAATAAGTTTAAGTTTATTCCATAGTAGTGATATGGAATTTTGGTTTGTTAATTGCTTTTAATGTTGTTGTTGTTGTTGTTGTTGTTGTTGTTGTTGTTGTTGTTTTTCATTTTTAACCACAGTGTTTTAAATATTATATTAGTAAAATTACGTAATACTACTTGGGCGTATCAATGAGTTTTTTTTTTCATAATTTTCACGCCCGCGATTGAAACCACGTGACTTCAGCTGTCCAATCAGAATGCACGGAGGGTGGCTCGTTCAAAGGAAAGGATATTAGATAACAGTCCAGATGCTTTGCATCTACTCGCTTCTTATTTTCTGATTTGTTCATGTTTTGATTCTTCTTGGACTTTCAAGCTAACCCGCTCGTTTTTTTTTAACACTTTCAAGTTTTATTTTATTTATCGTCAGTGTTTTTAAGAAGACACACCCCTCTCAGACGAAGGGCGCAAAGTTAATTCGTTGTTTTGCTAGTTTTCTGTACTGTAAAAAAATGGCCTATCCCGGATACGGTGCCCCGCCTGGTGGAGTCCCAGGAATGGTAAGAATCACGAATACTATCACTGAATAAGAGTAAAATCAGTATCAGACCCTCGTTCTGGTCCGAGGTGGACACTATGTCCAGCTAACCCGGAAGTCACTGTGTTTATAAAGAATACTGATTGTGTTTGGGTGCACATATAACTGTCTGCAGTCTGTTAACTAATTAATTTCACAGTAAAAACAGCAAACCAGAGGTCGAATTTGTATTGTATTTTGCAAATTTAAACTTATGAACACACGTATGCATTAACATAAAATAATTTAATGAAGTATTTGGTTAGGTTAGAGCAAACTTCCATATATTATGTTGGATTATAACATAACAGCAAAACGTAAGATTTAAGTCATTACTCTTTGTTGGAGAAGCAAATTCCTTATTTAAAAATCTAATATCTTTCCTACTTTAACAAATACATTCAAATGAGAACCACTTTGCTCAGCAGGTCATTTCATTGTGAGTTTACTATTTGAAGCAGTTTTTTTCGTTTTTAAATGAACTTTAAACTCTTTTTGACTGATAAATCTGAGTGTTTTTATTGCAGACACAGTCTAAAGTATTACTGTGAGGTTTGTGTGTACGTTTGAGTTAATTAGTGACGATACATTGGAGGGTGAGGGGGCAGGGTGGGGTCTTCATTTTGAAGGTACTTACAGAAAATGTTTAGGGTATTTCTGCAGTCATCATGATTATTGAATGTAACTTGTGCTTTTTACATAAAAAAGAAAAAAATTGTGTAGGTCTTCTGGACGGGTTCTTTAATGAAATGTTTCGTCTCTTCTCCAAGAGACTTCTTCAGTCTGAGAGTTTCAGGCAAAATTCAGGCTTTTGTGATGTGACTGATGATACTCACATCACATGGCTATCGTTGACACCTAATTAACACCTATTGTTAACAGGGGGTGGAGTGATACTGGCAATGGCTGCACTGTAGGAGGGGGACAACTGAAAACGGAGGCCTGCACTTTAATGATGGACGGTCTTTCTTCACAAAAATGGCTTCTTTTACTCCTCTCTCAAACCAACGTTCCTCTCTATCAAGAATGAGAACATCCTCATCTCTGAAAGAGTGACCGCTGGCCTGTAAATGAGTGAAAACTGCAGAGTTCTGGCCATTAGATGTAGCTCGTCTGTGTTGGGACATTCTTTTGAACAGTGGCTGCTTTGTTTCCCCGATGTATAACTGGTCGCAGTCCTCCTGGCACTTAACAGCATATACAACGTTGCTCTGTTTGTGCCGGGGCACTGGATCTTTGGGGTGAACCAGCCTTTGCCGTAATGTGTTTTGGGGTTTGAAAAACACATTACGGCAAAGGCTGGTTCACCCCAAAGATCCAGTGCCCCGGCACAAACAGAGCAATGTTGTATATGCTGTTAAGTGCCAGGAGGACTGCGACCAGTTATACATCGGGGAAACAAAGCAGCCACTGTTCAAAAGAATGTCCCAACACAGACGAGCTACATCTAATGGCCAGAACTCTGCAGTTTTCACTCATTTACAGGCCAGCGGTCACTCTTTCAGAGATGAGGATGTTCTCATTCTTGATAGAGAGGAACGTTGGTTTGAGAGAGGAGTAAAAGAAGCCATTTTTGTGAAGAAAGACCATCCATCATTAAACAGAGGTGGAGGCCTCCGCTTTCAGTTGTCCCCCTTCTACAGTGTGGCTATTGCCAGTATCACTCCACCCCTGTTAACAATAGGTGTTAATTAGGTGTCAATGATAGCCATGTGATGTGAGTATCAGTCACATGGAGGCAGTGTTTAAAAGCCTGAATTTTGCCTGAAACTCAGACTGAAGAAGTCTCTTGGAGGAGAGACGAAACATTTCATTAGAGAAGAACCCGTCCAGAGGACCTATACAATTTTTTTCTTTTTGATTTTTTACCTGGATTACTGAGACGCATCAGGACACTTTTTACATAAATATTTTATTTAAATTCTCTCTGTAGACATGATGAAGGTGTTAACTTGGCCATCAGTCTAAATTGATTTTTGTATTTAGGAAAAGAGGTTCTGACTTTAGAGCAAATTAACCTGCCTGTACCAATGGCAGCTGTTCTTAAATGTGCTGAAAAAATTAAACTGATTTGTGTTTAAATTAATTTATGTTGTTTTTTTATTCTAGTTCCAAATGGTTAAGAAACATAAATTATACAAGAACGTCTATTAAACCTTATTTAACTTTTTCTGACTCTCAGCATCAAGATCCTCTTTATGGATACTTTTCAGCAGTTGCTGGACAGGTAAGACACATAAAACAAAATATGGAAACAATTATTACTTCCCCTGATACACAACGCAGTGCAGTGTTGACGTTTCTGTAAAACTTTCTACAATACCTGGAAGTTGTTTGACTCATTGTGTTTTATTTTTTTTTATGAAACTGTCAGGATGGACAGATCTCTGAAGATGAGCTGCAGCGCTGCCTCACACAGTGTGGCATGTCTGGCTCATACCAGCGTAAGAGTAATTCTATGTATAGGTGCTTAAATAAATAGGCAATTATGTAAAAAGAGATTTGCAGTTTTGTTTAATTTTAAGTGGGTAACTTTAGCAATCACGAGTTATTGTAATCAAACAACTGAGTTTTATTTTTACTTAATTTAAATTTTTTGTAAACTCGCCTGTTCCAGTGTAGACATGGTCTTGATTGTGTATGCTTTCTTCCACAGCCTTCAGCATGGATACATGCAGATTGATGATTAACATGCTGGATGTATCCTTTAGACTTCTTTCATGTACAGCAGGGAGAACAAGTATTTGATACACTGTTGATTTTTCAGGTTTTCCCATTTGCAACGCTTGTAGATGACTAATTTTTATCACAGGTACTCTTCAACTGTGAGTGATGGAATCTAAAACAAAAATCCAGAAAAATACAATGTATGATTTTTAAATAATTAAATTTCCATTTTATTGTGTGAAATAAGTATTTGATACACCAGAAAAATGAAACTTAATATTTGGTACAGAAACCTTTGTTTGCAATTACAGAGATCAGACGTTTCCTGTAGTTCTTGACCAGGTTTGCACACACTGCAGCAGGGATTTTGGCCCACTCCTCCATACAGATCTCCTCCAGAGCCTTCAGGTTTCGGGGCTGTCGCTGGGCCACACGGACTTTAAGCTCCCTCCAATGATTTTCTATTGGATTCAGGTCTGGAGACTGGCTAGGCCAGTCCAGGACCTTAAGATGTTTCCTACGGAGCCACTCTTTAGTTGCCCTGGCTGTGTGTTTTGGGTCGTCATCATGCTGGAAGACCCAGCCACGACCCATCTTCAGTGCTCTTACTGAGGGAAGGAGGTTGTTGGCCAAAATCTCACGATACATGGCCCCATCCATCCTTCCCACAATATGGTGCAGTCGTCCTGTCCCCTTTGCAGAAAAGCATCCCCAAAGAATGATGTTTCCACCGCCATGCTTCACGGTTGGGATGGTGTTCTTGGGGTTGTACTCATCATTCTTCTTCCTCCAAACATGACGAGTGGAGTTTAAACCAAAAAGTTMTATTTTTGTCTCATCAGACCACATGACTTTCTCCCATTCCTCCTCTGGATCATCCAGATGGTCATTTGCAAACATCAGACGGGCTTTGACATGCGTTGGCTTGAGGAAGGGCACCTTGCGTGCACTGCAGGATTATAATCCTTGACGGCGTAGAGTGTTACTGATTGTTTTCTTTGAGACTGTGGTCCCAGCTCTATTCAGGTCATTGACCAGGTCCTGCCGTGTAGTTCTGGGCTCATTCCTCACCTTCCTCAAGATCAATGATGCTCCACGAGGTGAGATCTTGCATGGCGCCCCAGACCGAGGGAGATTTTCCGTTATTTTGTATTTCTTCCATTTTCTAATAATTGCACCAACTGTTGTTGCCTTCTCACCAAGCTGCTTGCCTATTGTGCTGTAGCCCATCCCAGCCTTGTGCAGGTCTACAATTTTATCCCTGATGTCCTTACACAGCTCTCTGGTCTTGGGCATTGTGGAGATGCTGGAGTCTGATTGATTGAGTGTGGACAGGTGTCTTTTATACAGGTAACGAGTTCAAACAGGTGCAGTTAATACAGGTAATGAGTGGAGAACAGGAGGGCTTCTTAAAGAAGAACTAACATGTCTGTGAGAGCCAAAATTCTTACTGGTTGATAGATGATCAAATACTTATTTCACACAATAAAATGGAAATTAATTATTTAAAAATTGTACATTGTTGAAGAGTACCTATGCTAAAAATTACAGTCATCTACAAGCTTTGCAAGTGGGAAAACCTGAAAAAGCAACAGTGTATCAAATACTTGTTCTCCCCACTGTAGTTGGAGAAGCTTACTTTGTTTAAAAAAATAAAATAAAATACTAAAAAGTGAGTAAGAGGTCCTTGACAGAAAGTGTTCTCTCAGCGGGACATGTCTGGCAGCTTGGGTTTTAATGAGTTCAAGGATCTGTGTCAGGCTCTGAACGGCTGGAAGGCAACCTTTGCAGCCTTTGATCGTGACCACAGTGGGGCAGTAGAGGGCCACGAACTGCAGCAGGCCATTGGATCAATGGGTAAGAAAATAAAGAATTAGAAATGTGCCACATATCTACAAGCTTGTTTAAAATATTTGCCTTTTCCATCAGATAAAAGTTACCATTGTTGGATGATTCTCTCATTTTTGTGCACGTTCATGCAGGTTACAATTTGAGCCCTCAGACTATGAATTGCATCCTAAAGCGCTACAGCAACCAGGGCAGAATTCCTTTTGATGCTTTTGTGAGCTGTTGTGTGAGACTCCGCGCTCTGACTGGTGAGTGGGCGAAGAGTTGCATGACAACACAGTGAGAACCGTTAACTCTAATGAGTCACGGTTTGATAAACTTATTCTGTCTGGGCTTGTAGGTTTGTTTCGCAAGCTTGTTTAGGAACTTTATTGGACTGTTGTTTGGATAATTTCAACATAGATCCAAAAAAACATCTAAAATATATTTATCGTCAAAAAACTCATCAATTTTTTTTGTTTGTTATATAGACCAGTTCCGCAGAAGGGATACGGCCCAAAGAGGAAATGCCTCATTTCAGTATGATGATGTAAGTTTTTATAATAAAGATGATGTTTTTCTTTTTAATTTCCTAAGACTTATTTGTTTCCAAATTTTAGTAAAATGTTTTGGTTAAATTTTCCGAGTTGAAACTTGCATCTACAGTTAACTGACCGTTTTTTTAAATTAAGTAACACCTTTTTCTAGTCTTACATTGCCTCAGAGGTAAAGTTGACATCAATTTGGGCAAACTAAAATTCACTGAAACAACACTGCCATCTAGTGGTGCTGACTTTGCTTACAGCAGAATTTGCACATCATTGCCATGTTATTGATGTTTTGCTTTCCTTGTCCCAAAATGTGAGAACCGAACACCCAAGGTTAGACTGATGCCAGATAATTGAAAGTTGCAAATTAATCTTGAACAAATTTCTGTTTCTTCAGTTTATACAGGTCACCATGAGTATTTGAAAAGGACAAGTGGACCAGTGAGGACCTGTGGACATCATAACGTTTTCACAATAACAGCATTTACATATTATTTACTTGTAATCATTTTTGTACAAACTAGGTCCAAATGTAACATTCCATTTCACTTGAACCACTTTCTTATTTTTACTCTAACAAACTAAAAAGCATATATTAACACTTAGTTAGCCCACTAACATTTAAGTAATAATATCAGTCAGATTTGTAGCTTTTGACCAGTAATCTTGTCACTCTTTAACATGTCAATGTCATCTTATATAAAAGTAATAAATATGCTGAATATTTTGCATTTTCTTTTTTTTTTAATCTTTGCCATTTTTCACTTTAACTGGGATTTAATGTGTCAAAAAGGAAGCAAATCTGATGTCCCATTTAATAGAACGTGAACTGACAGTGGCCCCTCTGGTAATATGACCACATGAACCTGGGGAGACTGCAAACTTCTAAATTTCTGTCCAGAAATGAGCAGTTTAACAGCTAAAATACCTTGCAGGAACCTCAGTCTCCCAAGCAGAATCAGAGCCACCCTCATGAAAGTGGAACAGCTCTACATGTTGAAAGTTGCTTCGTTAAAAGCTTTGAAAAATTGTGCAGAAATGTTTAAAAAATGTTATGCATGGCAATACAGAATTTGATGAGAAATAATTTGATTACATTGATTATAATTCTTCTACCATTAATCTATCCAACTGAAATTTTATTTTTCCTAAAGCTTGTTAATATTTTATCATATTGGATGCATAATAACATATTTTCATTGTTCTTCAGGAAGCCTAATATGAGCCGAGGATTCAGACAGTTTTAAGGGAATGTAGAATATTTTATCTATCTTTAGCTACACTAATGAGAAATAAAATGAGTGTACTGTATTTGTTTTGCTAATCATTACATGCTCAGCTTCAAACTGAACAAGGCCATTAACTTGTTTTATTTAATGGGATTGAAAACAAGAGCACAATTTAGACATCAGTTATATAGATTTCCCTCATACATTTACAATTTCATTATAAACTGAAACACTGGAAATTCCACGTACAGTATGTCATTCTGAATAACCAATAATTGCTGAGCGTTTTTAATGACATTTACTTCTGATACTAGAGCAGGTTTTTGTATTTTAAAAACTGCCCTTTGGTGAAGAAACACCATTTGAATAATTGCACTGCAGGAATCAAATCCAGTCATTTAACTCCAAACCTGAAAGACCTGTCAGACAGGTTATTACGGTTGAAAAGGAAGCTGAAAGCTTTTTGTTTTACTTTTCACTGGATCACAAACCTCATGGACCCAGACAAGGTAGGAAACACAAGTGCAACATGGCCTTTATGTATTATTTTAATAGCTATTTTTATTATTTAATGAAAATCTTCATACTGTAAATGAAAAGTATAAAACACTGAGTTTTCATGACGCATTGGCATGTTAGTTTTTATGTAATAGATTTATTTTCATGTGAATAACGAATGAGTTTAAGAAGATGATAAAAACACTTGTAATAAATTAGTAAAATGTAAAAGGAATAGGTGTTTTCAAAAGCATAAATGTTACACCATGGCACTCTGTCGTTTATCAGTTTGGTAATTGTTTAATTTAAAACCTTTGTGTGCTTGAAGTCACATTACCAGGAAGAAGGAAATTTTGTCTAATTTTAGACTTCAAATGTTTATGATTGATGATGGCGTACTTTGAAGCATTCATGGAGGCAAGAATGAGAAACATGAACACAGTGGAACTCAAAAACCTGGAATGAGAACTTGTTTTCGTTGACCATGGGGGCAGAGAAAACAAAACACATCTGCCTTGTTCTTTGTTATATATGAAACTGAAATTCTTAGGATAAAACAAAATTTTGTGCATTTTATGATGACTTTATACATTAAAACTGAATATGGAAAATTAATTTTGAATAGTAGTTTTTAATGTCATAAATAAAAAGCATGTTTAATAACTCATACACGCCTTTATAGATAAGTTGTATTATAAAACTAAAGGCATAACCTACTGCATTTAGATGCAATAATTTAAATTTTCTTATTTTCTTTTGTATTGATTTTCTTTTGTATTGATTTTTTTGTCTAAGTTTAATCAGTATGAAATTTGTACAGATTTAGAGAGTAACATGAAAGCCTCAAATGTCTAACTTTGTAAAACACAAATAATTTATAACATTTCAGAGTTCTGTTTTTAAATGGTAAAACATGATTGTCTATAGACTTATTTAGTGTTAAATGATTTAAACATGAGTATAAATAAGACTTGCACTCCAAGGGCTGGTTTCGCATTCCGGGCTTGAATAAAACCAGGACTACACTAATCTGGTCTAACTTAATCCACACTAATCCAACTGCTTTCTGAGACGTTTAACTTCAGATTAACTAGTTCCAGACTACAGAGTCTCTGACTAAGGTAATCAAGGATTAGACAGATCATGGTGGAACGTGAATTAGATTAACAATCTGCACATGGTGCAATGGTGAAGTTGCTCTTTAACTATTTGCAAAATGATAAATGTAGTCAAACAAAATCAAACTGATAACTTGTGGATCACTCAGCTGTTTCCAGCTTTGTCTTCATAAAAAGTGCTGCACAGCAAAGCTGTTTCTATAAGCATGTCCAGTTTTATCCATGGCTGAAACAAACTATTTTAGCTGCAGTGTTTTTGTACATACAAAAACGGTCACAGAAATCTGTATCATCAAATTTAGTCAGCGGGTTGCTTCTGTCTCAGAGAAATCTTCTTTCTGGTCTTTGTGGTGGTCTTCCAGCATCATTGATGTAGTATAGTCAAGATAATCCATTTTTCACATCCACAGTGAAGCATACAGTCTTTAATCTGAAGTTAAACCTGCCTCTAGCCAGCTTTAATTTAAGTCTTCATTTAGACCTGGATTAGCTCTAGTCTTCCTCTAAGAAAGAAKAKKATTTAATTCAAGACTAGGACAAGTCTGGGACTACTGAAATCCATAACTAAGAAAACTATTTCAATAAATCCTGGTTTAAAATGTGATTTAATCTAGAACTAGGCTTAATCTCTGAACGGGAAACCGGCCCCAAGTGTTCTATGTTGATCCTAGAAACGCTCAGCATAAACAGCATGTGCAGGTGCAGAATTAGAAAGACTAACATTACTATGTGTGACTAGAGCTTGTTGCATGTTTTGAAATTTTATTATGAAGGGGATTCTACAATGAGTCGGGCTGAGAAGAAAGAAGAGGCTGGTCTGTCCTCGAATGACAGACCATCTGAAGATCATGACAACCAAGAAAGACACAAAAGGTGAGATGATCCACGACAATCATTTCATACACACAATTAACCTCAATAATATGGAAGAAAAGTTGCATTTTAAAACACTTGTAACATTTGTCAGACTTCTAAGAATCTGTGTGGTAATTTAGAGCACACGCTGACACCTTCACTCTCACTGAGCACCATAATACTCGTCTCTTTTGTTTCAGGACTGAGCTGAGAAAAACAAAATCTGCTTTATCAAACTGTATATCTGTGAAAATTTGCAGTTTCATGGATTACACTGTTTGTTCCAAACTGTGAGATTTATACAAAATCAGATTGTGTTAGTGTTTTATAGTCACAGCTCTTTGGCCTTCTCTTGATACATGATTAGCCAGTGCTTCTTTTTGACATCATTTCCACCAGGTCTGAACAGAAAAACATAAACTCTCCAACACCAAGCATTGTGTCCTTAAAGAGCAACCAATCCATGGGTCACCCTCTTGGATTTAAAGAGTAAGACTCAATGAACTGTACCTTACTGTTTTGTGATCAACTCTGCCTACCTGCTGACATTAGTTAATTTTTCCTTTCCACCAGGTCTGAACAGAAAGATGGAAACTCTCCAACACCAAGCGTTGTGTCCTTGAAGAGCAACCAATCCATGGGTCACCCTCTTGGATTTAAAGAGTAAGACTCTATGAACTGTAACTTACTGTTTTGTGATCAACTCTGCCCACCTGCTGACATTAATTAATTTTTCTTTTCCACCAGGTCTGAACAGAAAGATGGAAACTCTCCAACGCCAAGCGTTGTGTCCTTAAAGAGCAACCAATCCATGGGTCACCCTCTTGGATTTAAAGAGTAAGATTCATATCGATTTATTGTGCCTCACTGTTTTGTGATCACGACTCTGCCTACATGTTGACAATATTTAATTCTTCTTTTCAACCAGGTCCGAAAAGAAAGACAGAAACTCTCCAACACCAAGTGTTGTGTCCTTGAAGAGCAACCAATCCATGGGTCACCCTCTTGGATTTGAAAATGGTTCGTTTTCAAGGTAAGTCTCTGCCTCAATTGCAAAAAGTCTTCATACATAATTCATTGTCATTAGTAGATGTCTATACTTTTTTGGGTTAGTAACACATTACTGTAATACTTTTTATTTTGCTTCATCCTAAATCCCTCATTTATGCCAGAGAAAAAAAGTTGAAAATTCTACGTCAACATGATCTTGATTAAAAAAAATATATTTTCTTTTATCTATACAAGCGGTGCGAGAATTTGGTTTGCATTGCCTGTAGTCAGACCCCTTCAGAGTGGGAGATGGACTCTGCCAGGGCTGCCCATTGTCCCTGATTCTGTTCATAACTTACATGGACAGAATTCCTCTGTGTAGCCAGGGCTCGGAGGGAGTCCGGTTCGGTGGCCCCAGGATTTCATCTCTGTTGTTTGCAGATGATGTGGTTCTTTAGGCGTCATTGTGTGAAGATCTTCAGCTCTCACTAGAGCGGTTCGCAGCTGAGTGTGAAGTGAGTGGGATGAGGATCAGCACCTCCAAATCTGAGTCCATGGTCCGCAGTTGGAAAAGTGTGGTTGCTCTATCCGGGTTGGGGATGAAGTTCTGCCTCAAGTGGAGGAGTTCAAGTATCTTGGAGTCTTGTTCACGAGTGAGGGAAGAATGGAGTGTGAGATTGATAGACGGATTGGTGCAGCTTCTGCAGTTTTGCAGACTCTGTACAAGTCCTTTGTGGTGAAGAGGGAACTGAGCTGTAAGACAAAGCTCTCTGTTTACCGATCAGTCTATGTTCCTACCCTCACCTACGGTCATGAACTTTGGGTAGTGAACAAAAGAACAAGATCGCAGATACAAGCTGTAGATATGAGTTTTCTCCGTAGGGTAGCTGGACTCTCCCTTAGAGATGTAAGAAGTTCAGTTATCTGGGAGCTGCTCCTCCACATCGAGAGGAGCCAGTTGAGGTTGTTTGGGCATCTAGTAAGAATGCCTCCTGGATGCCTCCCTAGGGAGGTGCTTCAGGCATGTTCAACTGGGAGGAGACCCAGAGGAAGACCCAGGACATGCTAGAGAGACTATGGCCCTTTCCCAATCGGTGGCTATACACTTGCCCTAGTCCCTACTCACTCAGTTTGCGCATTCCCGCGGAGGGTTGGCCATACTGTAAGCCCCATCTGAAACCAGTTAGGTACGAGGGCAAGTGGCTTATTAAGCCCTCCACACCGAGTCTGCTCCGATGCAGACTTGATCAGCAGGTGTAGCACCAAATAGTGGTCGACATGGAGCACAGGACAAATAATATAAGTTCCACATTTGTTTTGTACACATATTTACTAAGTAAACAACTCACCAACAAATATAATTTCACATAACTCATGTTTAATTCAATTAAAACTTTATTAAAGACACAGAACCCTGGTCCATATTTAAAAAAGAAGAAAAGAAAAAAGAAAGTAACAGTAAAAAAATGATTTTAAAAATATTAAAAGTGCATTTGTTTTGACAAGTTATCACACTGTGTTTGTTACAAATACAGTCATATCTGAAAACTCTCTAAAATGTGGGCCTAATAAAATATTTTCTTTGGCCTTATTAAAAAAAAACGTTTGTTCTCCTGCATTCAATTGCTTCCAGAGCTTGGACTGTTACCATGGTGACGACAGCTTCCTGTTCCTGTAGTGTGAGGAGAGCTCATCTCAAAAGAGGAGGGTGTATACAGCGCCATCAAGGGGACTCAGTTCAGCTGTGAGGGTGCTTCTCAGCGAGTGTAGTTTGTAGGGAGTAGGGCGAGTGTGTAGCCACTGATTGGGAAAGGGCCTCAATCTCTCGGCTGGCCTGGAAACTCCTTGGAGTCCTCCCAGAAGAGCTGGAAGAGGTGGCTGGGGAAAGAGAGGTCTGGGTTTTCCTGCTCAAGCTGCTGCTCCTGTGACGCGACTTCAGATAAAGTGAAAGATGATGGATGGATGGATGGATGGATGGATTGATGGATGGATATTTTCCACACAATAAAGGGGGACCGGAGCATCACTCTCTTTAGACTCCCTGGTAAGGTCTATTCAGGGGTACTGGAGAAGAGAGTCTGATCCATCGTCAAACCTCAGACTCATGAGGAACAATGCGGATTCCATCCTGGCCATGGAACACTGGATCAGCTCTTTACCTTCACTAGGGTCCTCGAGAGGTCATAGGAGTTTACCCATCCAGTCTACATGTGTTTTGTAGACTTGGAGAAGGCATTCAACCTTTTTCTTTGAGGTACACCATGGGTGGTGATCATCGAGTATGAGATTGTGGGTCCATTGTTACGGGCCATTCAATCCCAATACAAGTGGTGGAAGAGTTTGGTTCGCATTGCCGGTAGTAAGTTGGACCTCTTCAGAGTGGGAGTTGGACTCCACCAGGGCTGCCCTTTGTCACCTTTTCTGTTCACAGTTTTTATGAACAGGATTTTTCGGTGCAGCCAGTGCAGTGGCCTCCGGATTCCATCACTGCTCTTTGCAGATGATGTGGTTCTGTTGGCGTCATCGTGCCGTGATCTTCAGCTCTCACTGGAGCGGTTCACAGCTGAGTGTGAAGAGTTGGGATGAGGATCAGCACCTCCAAATCTGAGGTCATGGTCTCTGTCTCAAATGGAGGAGTTCATGAGTGAGGAAGAATGGAGAATGCGATTGACAAATGGATCAGTGATGCATCTAACTTTACATTTTGAGGACTTTGTACTGGTTTGTTGTGATGAAGAGGGAGCTGAGCTGTAAGACAAAGCTCTCTGTTTACTGATTAGTCTATGATCCTACCCTCGCCTATGGCTACAAACTTTGGGTACTGACCGAAAGAACAAGATTGCGGATATAGGTGGTTGGAATGAATTTTCTCTGCAAGGAGAAGGATGCCTCCTGGACGCCTCCCTTGGGAGGTGTTTCAGGCATGTCTGACTGGGAGGAGACCCCAAGGAAGACCCAGAGCTCGCTGAAGAGACTATGTCTCTTATCTGGCCCGGAAACACCTTGGAGTCGTCCCAGAAGAGCTGGAAGAGGTGGCTTGGGAAAGAGCGGTCTGGGCCTCCCTGCTAAAGCCGCTGCCCACACAACACGACTGTGGAACAAACGGTTAATGATAGATGGATGATGGATGCTACACATTCATAGTCAATAATATTGCCTTCTCCACAGAGTTCACCAAGATCTATCCATCAGTAATCAAACAGACCTGGACTCAATATTTGTGGTGAGTACCAGTACAGGTGAACTAATATAGCCTCTTAAAAATATATATTTTTTGCCTTCTGGCTGCTTTATGTGATCTTTAGCAAACCAGTTTGATCATATTAATATTTTCTCATTGCAGCCCTGTTATGCACACACAATCCGGTAGTCTAACAAGGAAATAAAAATCTTTTGAGAAGACATGTTTGTCAGATTGCTAAATAAGAACAGTCATAACTTTTTTGATATAGTTGGTTTAGATAAACAATACAGCTTGGTATTTATACACACCTTGTAACTATTGGTATATAACCATTAAGTAGATGCATAACCTAGTACTTACAGGGTATGCACCTGGTACTTAATTGGTTCTTCCTGGGTACATACCTAGTATTTATAAGACATGTAAAGGGTAGCAAATCACTTCATAATACAATGTAATCTCTGTGAGTATCCTGTAATTTCACCTGGTAAGTGAGTTTGTCTGGGTTAAGTACCAGGTACATACCAGGTAATTTATGTATTGCTACTATGATTTTTCTGCTTTTTACATCTGAAATTTAAAGTACATCATTTATTTACCTCAGATTCTTGAAAAGGACACAATTACATTTGTGAAGAGTGAGTTGAGGAAACTCCAAAGGCTGTTCGGCGCTGATTCTCCAAAAAATGTTAAAAGTCAACATGACAGCGAAGAGTTTTTTTGTGAATCACAAGCAAAGGAGGCACTTCTAAATATCATTGTGTGGTTTTTGAGACTAATGGATGAAGGAGAAGTTGCAGACACCCTTCTGAAAAGTAAGAGAATCCTAATATATTTTTTCATAATGTTTTTTGTTGTTTTTCCATTGCAAATATAGTGCAGAAATACCGTAGAGACCTAAGTGAGATTAAATTATGAGTGAGTTCTATATTTCACAAGCAAATCTAGCAGAATAGGGAACAACTTGCTCTTTGCAAATTTTTATATATACAGTACATAGTTATTTAGGGAGAAGGATAAGCATGCCTGTCCAAATGCCCAACAGGGATTTAAGATGGGTGCTTTGAAGGACAGCATTTAGTTATTACTGACCACTTTCCTGTGCAGAATTGATAGAATTCATTTAAATCGGTTGGTTGCACAGACCTGATTCATAGTTTACAACTATTTCAGTAGGGTTCACATCATGGCTTTAAGGTCATTCCAGAAGCTTAATTCTAACTGGCTTTCTCGAATCAACAAACAGTTTTGATGTGGATTGAAGATGAAAAAAATAACAATAAAAGCAGCACATTATTATAGCAGTCATGGCCATGATGAGTGTCTGTAAAACATCTGACTGCAGCTGTATTTATATTGAGACGAGGTTGAAATTAATGGCATTTTGAGATCTATTTATACAATTACAAGTCCCAAAACAAACAATAAAATAGAGACAGATATAGAGATCTACAGCGACAGGAAGACTTGAAAACCCCACTAAACTAAACTAAAACATTTTAGAAGATAAAAAGCAGATTAGGATCAGATGTGAAGAGAGCAGAAACAGAAACCAATGAAGGCAAATCAGAGAATAGAATAAAGCAAAAACACAAAAATACAGAACATGAAACTAAAGTAACAAACAAGATCAATAACTCCATAAACTACAGAGTTTAAATCACTTTTACATTGTATTCATGAAACACCAAAAGTCTTGTTGAGAGTGTACAGTGACACTTCTTTTGGAATGTGCTCCAGCAGGATGCTTTGTTATTTACCTGCAGGTTTCTGATTTTTAAAAAGATAAACCTGAGAGATGTGACTGTTTTTTGTTTCACACTGTTGTCTTTGTTTTCAAGTAAGTAAGACAGTATGGTAGATAAGGCATTGGAAAATAAACCGGCCTCATTGTGATGAGTCAGAGCTGTGCAGACAGGGGTGACAACACTGAATTGTGAAGCCTGATTAATGCAGCATGTTGTGTTTGTGTAAAGGTGATTTTATTCCAAGTCAGTCAGAGGAGAATGACCAGGATCGCTTGACCTCAAATGACAAACCATGCGAGCAACAGGTTGACTGGAATAGATCTGGAAGGTAAAATGAATGTAATTCTAACTTCACAAGGTGAAACTCAGTGCTTTAAAAACATCATCTGACTCTAGGAAAGGAACAATGACTACATTATAGTGAGAAACATTCCTCAAGTTCAGCAGCATGTTTGCAGTAATGTTCACCAACAATCTATAAATAAATTGTGTTTGTTTAAGGATTCTGTTAAAGAGACAAAAATCTGCTCCCCCTATCTGCGGGTCACTTATGAGTGATAAATCTGTGGATTACCCTATTGGTTTTAAACGGTAATCTGGACTTTTAAACTAAATGATACTATTTTCTTAATGTACTGTTTGACTATCCTTGTTGTCAATCATTGGACCACAGTGTCATAGAGAAAAAAGAGATAAAAAGGAGAAATATTTACTTTGTTTCTAAGTTTTGAAAATATAGTCAAAATGTTGAGAAACAGAACAGTAATACTAAAGTTGAAATGATGAGAACTCTGATATTTTTAAATAAAAAGAGAATTAAAAACCAAACCTACGAAAGTCGAGAGTGGATGTTTTCCGCATATATTTTTTCTCACTGTTTCCCCATGATAACATATTTTATTTAACCTTTATTTAACCAGAAAGTCCCGTTGAGATTAAAAACCTCTTTTTCAAAAAAGACCTGGCCAAAACAGGCAGAAGCAGCAAATACAACAGAGTTTTCACATCTCAGTAATATTATGTTGTTTTCACAAAATAACGATGAACGTTTTCTCGAGATAACGAGTTAACTTCCCAGTGGTTTTCATAATGTGGAAAAAATATATATGTGGGTAAACATCTGCTCTCGGCTTCCGTACAAAACATTGGCCCAAAAACATTAATATTTTTTGCAATTTTTAAATTATATTTATAGTAATTGGCTACAAATATCTTTTAATCATAAATGCCTTGACAAACTGTGATTAATAAATGGGCCAACATTATAAATGCTGATTCAGTATTGTAGCTACATTATGGTAAATATTTACAGATGGTAACAAAATCACTTGTTCTTGTCTGTACATTACTGTTGTGTTTAAAATTAGAAAAAGTGTGTTTTAATACTTTTTAAAATGTAACTGTTCCATTATTTGAAATCAGTAAATTAGTTTACGTGTTTTTTTTTATAGAACTCCCCAAAAAGTAAACTTGAACTCAGTATTTAAGGTTAGTATCTGTAAAAATGCAAAGAGAAATGATGAAAAGATTTGAGGTTCTTTATTTCTAAATCTAAAATTGAATATTCAAATATGTTTCATTACAGATCCTTGAGGAGAAAATAATTTGTTTTGTAAAGAATGAGCTGAATAAGTTCCGTAAGCTTTTAAACCTGAAAAGAGTTTGTAACCAAGGTGAAGAACAGGTGTTTAACTATAAGGAGGAAGAACAAGAGATGATCAATAAAGAAGCTTTTCTGAATATAACCCTTCAGTTTTTGAGACGTATGAAACAGGAAGAACTGGCCTACTCTCTATTGAACAGTAAGTCATTTACTTCAAAACTTCATGAAGAATTTTTCTTGCATAGCTGAGCTTAAAAAACTTGCTTTTACTTTAAAAATAAGATCCTGAAGTTTCTTTACAATCTGACAGTTTCCTGTTTGTTTTTGTAGAAAACCGTGTGATCACGTGCCACTGTCAACTCAAATCTAATCTGAAGAAAAGATCTGCGTATGTGCTCGAAGGGATGGCTAAAGCAGACAGTCCAACCTTGCTGAATAAGATCTACACAGAACTCTACGTCGTTGAGGGAAACACAGCACACATCAACAGGAAACATGAAGTGAAACTGATCGAAAAAGTTTTCATGAAACCAGCCAGAGCAGAGACAAAAATCAGATGCGAAGACATCTTTAAGCCCTTCACTGGAAGAGAGAAACCAATCAGAACCGTGATGACAGAAGGCGTTGCTGGCATTGGGAAAACCGTTCTGACGCAGAAGTTTGCACTGGACTGGGCAGAAGGCAAAGCTAACCAGAACTTCCAGTTCATATTCCCAGTTTCTTTCAGAGAGCTGAACATGATAAAGCAGAAAGAAATTAGTTTGATTGAGCTTATTCATCTCTTCTTTTCTGAAATCAAAGAAGCAGGAATCTCCAGCTTTGAAGAGTTCCAGGTTTTGTTCATCTTTGATGGTTTGGATGAGTGTCGGTTTCCTCTGAACCTAAACAGTGAAAAGATCCTGACTGATGTAACAGAACCCACCTCACTGGATGTGCTGCTGACAAACCTGATCAGAGGGAGATTACTTCCCTCAGCTCGCATCTGGATAACAACCCGACCGGCAGCAGCCTATCAGATCCCTCCTGAACTTGTGGATCTGGTCACGGATGTGCGAGGGTTCAGTGATCTACAGAAGGAGGAGTACTTCACGAAGAGATTCACAGACGGAGAGCAAACCAGAGTGATCTTCTCCCACATCAAGAAGTCGCGAAGCCTTTACATCATGTGCCACATCCCGGTCTTCTGCTGGATCTCTGCCACAGTTCTTCAGGATGCTTTTAAATCCAGAGAGAAAAGAGAGCTGCCCACATCCCTGACTGAGATGTATGTCAACTTCCTGATGGTTCTGTCCAAAGTGAAGATGGTAAAGTATGATGAAAAAGCTGAGACAGATTCCATCTGGAGTCCAGAGACCAGGAAGATGATCCAGGCTTTGGGAAAACTCTCTTTTGAGCAGTTAATGAAAGGCAACCTGTTCTTTTATGAATCTGACCTGATGGATTGTGGCATCGACGTCAGAGCTGCCTCACTGTACTCTGGAGTTTTCACAGAGATCTTTCAGGAGGAGAGAGTTCTGTTCAACGAGAAGATGTTTTGCTTTGTTCACCTGAGCGTTCAAGAGTTTCTGGCTGCTCTTCACGTCCACCTGACATTCATCAACACAGGAGTAAATCTGCTGTCAGAGGAGGAATCGACTCCCCAGAAATCCAAAATGTCGACAGGGACGTTGGACCTCTTTTATCAGAGTGCTGTTGACAAAGCTTTACAGAGCCACGGACACCTGGACCTGCTCCTTCGCTTCCTTTTGGGGCTTTCGCTAAAAAACAACCAGGCGCTTCTAAAAGGGCTTTTGACAGAGAAAGAAACGGAAAACAGCTCCAGTCAGAACACGGTTCAGTACATCAAGAAGAAGATTAGCCAGAATGTGTGCATTTTGAAAACCAACAACTTATTTTACTGCTTGAGTGAGCTGAAGGACTGTTCTCTGATAGACGAGATCCAGCAAACACTGAAATCAGGCAGACTGCCAACAGATAAACTGCCTCCTGCTTTGTGGGCAGCTCTAGGCAATGTTTTACTGTCTTCAGAGGACAATTTGGATGTGTTCGAACTGAAGAATTACTATGAATCAGATGAAGCTGTAATGGGTCTGGTAATGATGGTCGTAAACTGCACTAAAGCTGTGTAAGTGAAAAGACTGCTCAGCAATAATAAAAATAAGAGCTACTTTATTTCTTTAACTCTGCCTTCATGTCTGTTTTTTTTCATGTTAATTTAGGTTGAGTTGCTGTAACCTGACAGAGATGTGCTGTAGTGACCTGGCCTGTGCTTTGAAAGCACAGTGCTTCGCTCTGAAGAAGTTGGACCTCAGTAACAACGACTTGAAGGATTCAGGGGTGAAGATGCTGTGTGATGGACTACACAGTCCAAACTGCACACTGGAAATGCTCAGGTCAAGATCTACCTTTAGCTTTTATTAATATAATTCAAGAAAAAAACTAAACTTTAAGAAACATATTTTCAGTTTGAGTGTGAGGGAATGCATGCAATTAGTTAGCATTGCTTTGCAGCAAGAATTTCCATTAATAAGTCATTTTTACTCAAGAATTTTATTTTGCATGTTTGTGTTTGTGAGCAGCCTGTCAGGCTGTTTAATCACTAAGGAAGGCTGTGCAGTGTTGGCATCTTCTCTGGGTCTCAACTGTGCTCACCTGAAAGAGTTAGATCTTAGCTACAACCATCCCGAAGAGTCTGGAGTGAAGCTCCTTTCTGCTGGACTGGAGGACCCAAACTGGGCTTTGCAGGCTCTCAGGTACAAACAGACAAAAATTGAGCTCTCTGAAGACAAAGCTCAAAAAATAATTAATTCTCCTAAAACAAACAAATTCTAGATTATACAGTGTCTTTGCTTTGAGATATTCATAAGTATAAACTATATTCGAAATACCCAGACTATTATGTATTAATTGATGATCTTATACATTTATTCCAGGATTGAGCCAGGTGGATCACAGTATTTAAAACCTGGTCTGAGGAAGTGTAAGTATGGCCATTTTATGTCAGGCACAACTATTTTAAGTTTTTAATCAAAAAATATTTGAGTAAAAATATATTTTTTATAAATGTTCAAGCATTCAAGAGCTAATAAATATGAAAAGTACATTTTTCAGAAAATAAAAAAATAACTTTGTTTTGATTTGTTTTTAAATCAATTTATGTTTATTTAATTTGGAATAAAACCTTAACAATAAAAGTGAACATGGTTAATGAATCATTAATTTCATTGTGCTCTGTACAATGACAATAAAGGCATCATCAAATCAAATCAAATCGAATACGTCAGGGAAGTTGTTCATATAAACTGCTGTCTGTCCTTCAGATGCCTGTGAACTCGTCCTGGACTCCAACACAGCACACAGAGACCTCGTACTGTCTGACAACAACAGAAAAGTGACCATCGCGACAGAAAATCCTCCATATCCTGATCATCCAGAGAGGTTTGTCACAATGAAACAGCTGCTGGGTAAAGATGGTCTAACTGGACGGTGTTACTGGGAGGTTGAGTGGAGAGGAAGTGTTTACATCGCAGTGACGTACAAAGGTATCAAAAGAAGAGGAGGAAGTAACGACAGCAGCCTCGGAGCGAACAATCAGTCCTGGTGTCTGCTGTGTTCTGAAGATGGCCACTCTGTTCTGCACAATAACAAAATGACACACCTCCAAGGAGCCCCTTCAAATAGAGTGGGGGTCTATCTGGACTGGCCTGGTGGCTCTCTGTCCTTCTTCAGGGTCTCCTCGGACAAAAAGACCCACCTTTACACCTTCACTTTGACATTCACAGAGCCTGTGTACCCTGCTTTCAGGGTGGAAACTGAGCCTTTAAATTCATTTGTTTTTGTTTTAGATTGAACTAAATGAGATTTCCAGATGGTTCTTAAAGCACTGTAAAACTGTGAGGAAACACTAAGATTGTACATTTTAAAATATGTAAATTACCTTTAATGTCCAGAGAACACCAAGAAGAGAAAGAAAAAGTGCCAAAAATATGAGAACTTGTAAAAGTTAAGATTTCAAACATCTACAGGTTGGATTAGGATTGTGTGGTTTCATATATGTTTTTTTTTGTACATACTGTGTTGTTCTGATAGGCATATGTCAAGTTTCCATAGAAATATCCACTTGAAATATCCAATAAAAATAAACATCCATAAAATTCTTAATACAAACGTCAAGATTTTTACTTAAGAAAAGAATCCTTAGCTGATAAACAGGTGCTGGTCATAAAATTAGAATATCATGAAAAAGTAGATTTATTTCAGTAATTCCATTTAAAAAGTGAAACTTGTATATTATATTCATACATTACATACAAACTCATATATTTCAAATGTTTATTTCGTTTAATTTTGATGATTACAAATGACAACAAATGAAAATCTCAAATTCAGCATATCAGAAAATTAGAATCTTGTGAAAAGGTTCAAAATGGATGGCACCTGGTACCACACTCTAATCAGCTAATTAACTCAAACCACCTGCAAAGGCCTTTAAATGGTCTTTCAGTCTAGTTCTATAGGCTACACAATCATGGGGAAGACTGCTGACTTGACAGTTGTCCAAAAGACGACCATCGACACCTTGCACAAGGAGGGCAAGACACAAAAGGTCATCGCTAAAGAGGCTGGCTGTTCACAGAGCTCTGTGTCCAAGCACATTAATAGAGAGGCGAAGGGAAGGAAAAGATGTGGTCGAAAAAAATGTACAAGCAAGAGAGATAACCGCACCCTGGAGAGGATTGTGAAACGAAACCCATTCAAAAATGTGGGGGAGATTCACAAAGAGTGGACTGCAGCTGGAGTGAGTGCTTCAAGAACCACCACACACAGACGTATGAAAGACATGGGTTTCTGCTGTCGCATTCCTTGTGTCAAGCCACTCTTGAACCACAGACAGCGTCAGAAGCGTCTTGCCTGGGCTACAGAGAAACAGGACTGGACTGCTGGTGAGTGGTCCAAAGTCATGTTCTCTGATGAAAGTAAATTTTGCATTTCCTTTGGAAATCAAGGTCCCAGAGTCTGGAGGAAAAGAAAAGAGGCACTTCATCCACGTTGCTTGAAGTCCAGTGTAAAGTTTCCACAGTCAGTGATGGTTTGGGGTGCCATRTCATCTGCTGGTGTTGGTCCATTGTGTTTTCTGAGGTCCAGGGTCAACGCAGCCACATAGCAGGAAGTTTTAGAGCACTTCATGCTTCCTGCTGCTGACCAACTTTTTGGAGATGCAGATTTCATTTTCCAACAGGACTTGGCACCTGCACACAGTGCCAAAGCTACCAGTACCTGGTTGAAGGACCATGGTATCCCTGTTCTTAATTGGCCAGCAAACTCTCCTGACCTTAACCCCATAGAAAATCTATGGGGTATTGTGAAGAAGAAGATGCAATACACCAGACCCAACAATTCAGAAGAGCTAAAAGCCACTATTAGAGCAACCTGGGCTATCATAACACCTGAGCAGTGCCACAGACTGATCAACTCCATGCCACGCCGCATTGCTGCAGTAATACAGGCCAAAGGAGCCCCAACTAAATACTGAGTGCTGTACATGCTCATACTTTTCATGTTCATACTTTTCAGTTGGCCARCATTTCTATAAATCCTTTGTTTTTATTGGTCTTCAGTAATATTCTAATTTTCTGATATGCTGAATTTGAGATTTTCATTTGTTGTCATTTGTAACCATCAAAATTAAACGAAATAAACATTTGAAATATATGAGTTTGTATGTAATGTATGAATATAATATACAAGTTTCACTTTTTAAATGGAATTACTGAAATAAATCTACTTTTTCATGATATTCTAATTTTATGACCAGCACCTGTGTACTGTAGACTGGATCAATAAATAAAAGTATAAACTGAGTAAATGTGTCAATTAAAGCTAAGATTTGTTAATTCAACACTGTCATAGTCTGTGTGTTTTTCTGCCTTAGTTTTCTAGTGTTTCAGTGTTCCTCTGTGTATCTGCCCTAGACCCGCCCACACCCACCTGTTTCCTCGTGTCTCCTCCAGGTGTTTCTCATTTGTCCTCATTAGTTTCTCCTTATATTCAGTGTCTTGTCATCTTGTGTTTGTCTGTTCTTGTGCTGTCAACTCCAGCCAGTGTGGTGTCTTCCCTGTTCCTCCTGAGACTTTGATTTTTGAGCTGCCTCGTCAGCCTTTTGATTTGTTTATTAAAGCTTTTTGTTACATTGTGGATCCTCGCCTGCGCCCTGGGTTTTTCATGCCTGCACCTCACAAACACCTGAATGCAGTGCACTTATTAACCCTTTCGTGCATGAATTATGATAAACTCAGTCAGGATTTTTTTACTAAGTGTTTTTATACATCCTAAGGGATGTAAAACAAGGTTTGAAAATTTTTTTCTATCTTTATTTTTTAAAGAAATAATTATCTGTACACTCAAGTGTACTTCATGCATTTTGTACTGTAAGAAAACATAAATGTAATAACATGGTAATTATATAGTTGTAATTTAGTTATACAGATATAAAATGGCATTCTGTTGGAATGTTGGTTCCTCCACTCCTCTGTAGTCTTCTCTATTTGAGCTCTATTGATAAACATAAAAGTTGACATAAACATAAATTTATATTTTAACTAGGCGTTTTGATTCATATTTAGGGATGTAAAACAAGATTTAAAAATAAACATATATTCTCTCTGAAATGAGTATGACACAAGTCACAGTATCCGCACAATATATTGAAAAAGTATCGTCGCAATAACTGCTTGTGCAATATGCACATTGCAACAAATGCATAAACTGTTTGCATTTATGAGTTTTGTCACTCAGACGGAAGCTTGAAGCATTTCACCAATCAAATGGAGCCCTTCATATTAATCTTCATATTTTTAAAAATTCATAATAGAATGAAAATGATTAGTTTTGTTTCTTTGTTTTTTTGCTCAGAACCCCAAGCAGAAAACATCAACACTACATACTTATTGTTTATTTATCACAAGTCATACCGTCATCGCAATATTAAGCACTGTTATCACACATTACAGGTTTTTCTGATATCGTGCAGCCCTACTCTGAACTGTAAATCCTCATAGAATCTTAACTGTAACGGTTTTTTATCAGAATGAATTCTTGTTAAGTCTCAGAACTGAGCATATTCTCTCATAGCAATCTCTCTTATAGCATGTATAATATATATATTTTTTGGCCAGACACTGTATAAAAATTGATACAGTATGTAAAAAAATCAAATTACATTATAATACTATAAAGTTGATTTAAAACCAAAACTGTATAGGGTATGAATTATTTTCAGGAACAACATTGGTAATAACTGACATTGCATTGAAGTTAAAAAGTAGCCAGTGATGCATGATGTACAGTTGAGTGGACATGTGTTTAATCTGTATTTTCTACAAATATAAACTCAAAACTTGGAAAAGCTTTACATAATATGTCACCTTAGATGTTACTTGATGTAATCATTTTTTTTTTTACCTGCAATGGTATCTTTTTATGGAAGGTAGAAACTGAAATAGCCAAGGTGTTTGGTCGTTCTCCCCATCTGTCAGCCATCTTGGTTTTACTGACTATTGTTTCCCATTGCAATGACCAGCCAATAGGATTTTTTTGTATGGGATGATGTAATAGCTTACACTAGAGTGGATTATATGCAACACTGCCCAAAATTGCAGGCATGTATATGTATATAAACAACTGTACACTGTGACCTCTATGCACGAAAGGGTTAAAGATGACAATATTTTAAGTGTTGTTTATTTTTGACAGTCTGCACTTTTTTTGTTTTAATTTTCCAGCTGCCCTTGGGTCAAAATGACCCTTAAGGTCTCAGGGGTTGCTTTGTTTGATATTTTGCCTAAATGTTGCTCATAATAACCCATAGCTGATTAATGCTACAAACAAAACCTAACAGTATCTAGCCCCTCCATTAATTGTGTGAAGGCTTCATAGCATCTCGTTCTGCAATATTTGTGCCATTTAATTGTGCAGCTCCTTCATGGCATTCTGTGAATTTTGGTATATTAGCTATTTATACTTTTTTAGCTATTTCACTTTTTTTTGCCATATCTTTCCTATTGAAAATGAATAGAGCTGTTTTCAACATCCTTAACCCTTCAAAATGTTTATATGCTGTATCTTTATTGTTCTTACGTTTTGGGGGGTTCAGCTCATTTTACCTTCCTTATGCTATTTTAGCTTTTTTGTTATCTTTAGCCTTTGTCTGTAGTTTCTTGCTAAAATTCTTCTAATTTCTGCTATTCTTCTGCTAGATTATGCTTTCAGCTTCTCTTTGCTAATTTGAACTTTTTATGCTTCTGTGTTCTGGTTATTTCAGCTTTTTGCTGCCGCTAAAATTAGTTTTGAAGCTACTTTTACATTTTAGGAGTCATTTCAGTGTCTTTTTGTTTAGTTCAACAAACATGTGCTCCTTCTGCCTTTTTTATGCTAAATTCAGCATTTTAAGCTTATTTTTTAAGCTTTTTTGATACATATTTTGGCTATTTTAGCTAATTTACATCAGATTGCAACTATTTTGTACTTCCAATAATTTTTTTCTGCTGTTTTTGCCTTTTTACACCACTCTCACAATCTGTAAGCTAATATTAACTTGTATATGTTACTTTTAGTTTATTATTATGACTATTTTAGCTTTTGTTCCTGCTATTTTAGCTATCCTTCTGCTAATTTCTGCTTCCTTGTGCTTCTTTCTGCTGATTTGAGCTTTTGTGTTTCAAATGAATTTCCATTAAAATTTAACTTTCAGCTAAAGTTTTCAGCAAGAAGCATTCACACTAGTGAAAGAAATGGGTGATTTATCGTGTTCGTTACCAAGATGTGTGCGAAACCGTACAGAAAATGTGCACAAGCAATTGAGAGAGTCTTAAAAAATGGCCATACAAAACCAGAGCTCTGCTGATGTTCGGTTTAATGACAACAAGGAAAATCAGGCAGAATCAGGAAATACCAAAAGATTTTATCAAAAGCTTCAGGGCATGGCTCCGTCTATATTGATTATCAGTGGGGGTGGGGGTGGGGGGGACTATCCTTGTCAGAGCTTTGCCCTCTTACAAAGAAATCTATCCTAATGATTAAAAGTTCAATATGTGTTGTATTTGTTATCAGGCATCTACCTATTAATATATAATCATCAAGTTCATCAAAAGGCACATTTAACAGTCATTACAGTTTTATCATAAAACAACCCATACTATGTGTAATGTAATTAAATCATTAAGTAACATAAACCCCAATAATTTCCTTCAACTCCCTCTTTTCACATTACAAAACAGTCATGTGAATACCAAGGAAAGTATTAATCAAAAAACCCTATATGTACGCAGTAAGGCAATATGTGTTTGTAAGTAATCTAGCATAACAGCACAATTTGGAAAAAAACTAACACACCACCCCTGATTAAGTTAAAAACTGATTCATTTATTCCACCCCATCAATAAAACATACATAAAATAAGCTGAAGTAAGACAATACATCCCAGTGTATTAAGTTTTAACCTTAGCTCAATCACATCATGAACAAAAGATATAACATTCATCATCATCAAAAAGTATTGATTGGTATTTAACTAAAAATTCATGCCCACTGCGTGTGTGATTCTAAATCAGTTTTACCCTTAATTACTTAAAATGTCAGCTAGGAGCTAGACGAAAGGGCCGTGTCCTCCTGTGGTCAATCGTCCTCGCCATCAAGGTAATGGAGAGGTGGGCGTGAACCAGGATCCACCTGCTGCGTCGTCTGATAGGCCATGGCAGGGTGCTCGGAGGTACTTCTAACTGCCTGGGAGATGATCTTTATGCACAGAAACCTCAAGAATGGCAAGCCACACAAACAACAACATGTCATAACGATGACCATTGTGACCACCGGCACCAAAATTCCAGACAACAAACTCTTCCAACCACCAAATGTCATCGCAAACCATCCTTCTACCTGGGTGGAAGCAGCTGAATGACTGACCATCTCTTCAGACAATGTTCTAAGTACTTTAATGGCCTTTGTGAAGGACCCATCAGACTCTGTATGCCTCGGAATGAAAGTACAACAGGAAGCTCCGAAAAACTAACACACCACACTCTGTTGGGCTAAGATAAAATCTAACGCAATTCTATTTTGATAGGCCATGAGGGAGGTGGCAGCTAATTGTTCGTGTGCACTTTGCAGGGCGTCTCTAGTCAAAGTCAAGTCTCTAGTCTAGTCAAATTATTAAGTCTCTGGACATTAATTTTTATTTAGTATAATCCATGATAAAATGTTTCAAAACCAGCAGCTACTTGATCAATCAATTTAAACTCAGTAGGGACACCTCTGGGAACAGCAATCACATCTATATAATCCGGGCTGTTATCATAAAGGTCAAACGTATGTTTAAACCGTCTAAGTTTTACCACCTGCTTGTCCGCATCCACGTGCTGAGCCAACGAGTCCTCGACTGTGAAATTAACAAACCGAACAGGAGACACCAGTGACACTTCGGCACAACGTCCATCCCAATCTGTTGGCAAAATTTTCAACAAACGTTTACCACCACAAAACCAAAAAACATCAGCCCTAGAAACTCTCAATTTAGTTGAAATGATCCAAGAAGTAACATCAACCAATTTACCAAACCAGGCCTCATCCAGTTCTCCAACATTTGTTCCCCCGTGCTGCCCCCTCATGGCCAAACATGTATGGGAATTCTTCACTGGATTAAAAATGGGCCGAGTGTCTGTCTGTGGGGACATAGGAAAAAGCCGTTCTAAATATTTTCACCGAACAGATGGGTTCTCAGAAATATGCAACTCAAACATACAGAAAAAAACTTGAATCATTATTCAAAGAGGACAGAACCGTTAACAAGGCAGGTCTTGCCTGCGCACACACAACACAATTAAAAACATTGGCCTGACTGGCAGCATCTTTGACATATTTCACCCAATAATTTTCCCGAGTGAACCCCGTTTCAACAGCAAGCTCCTTGCTTGGGGCCATATCAACTTTCATCTCCAACTCACTGGACTGCATCACATGAATTTAAATTTTTCCCACTGGATCACGTCCTCGAGACCACAACGCCATCAGGAAATATCAGATATCTGAAACCTGTGGATTAATCAGAGTTAAGAGCATGGGATTACAAGTGTAATCATTTTCATACACTTCTTTTCCTTTTTCCTTTTTGATGGCCAGGCGACCCTCCAAGGGGTTCCGCCCCATGCGAAATCACCATTCGGATAAGGCATGATGTGAGTGGAACACATTCTTGTTGACCTGTAAGACGCTTGAACTGGTCTACATTTTATCACAGAGCAAAGGTCAAACAGTATCCCAGCAGACTGACCCTCTACAAAGGTGAATCTATAAGCTTCTCCCTCGAAATCTGATCGTCTCCATCTTTCTCTCGACAAAACCTGCAGAGTTGTGTTAGTGGCATTAAACATTCTCTCAAAATCAAAATCATAAGAAGGCAGAGCTGTCATATTTTCAGTCTCAGTCATGTTAACAGTCATATTAGTTAGTATTCCAGTTTGTTTTTCTGCCTTTTTTATCCCTTTGTTGAACTCCAAACAACAAATGAACAAATAAAAACATCATCCTTCACGCCCTTTTAGCCATCGTAACTTCAGTTATGATGGTTACGCAGTTGTTGATCTTTTTTTATGCTTTTTTTTGCTCCTTAAATCATTAGTTGAGTCAACACCAGATGCGGGCTGTTGTTTTGATGAAGGTTTTTGTACTGCAGCTGTTTTGATTTTCACAAAAGGAGCATTTATTGAGATGTTTTGTCCAATCTGTTGCACAGTTTTTTCAGTTGGAGCTGCAGCGTTACAGCAATGAGTATTATGAATCCAGTTACTCAGCTTGTTTTCAGAAACCCAAACTTTCAGACAATGTGATGTTGTTTCTGCCACCTTAAAGGGTCCTTGCCACCTGGGGTTACGCCAGTCGAAACGAGCCACTTTCCTTAGGACCCAGTCGCCCGGCTTCACCTGAGCACATGCTTCGTTGTCGTCATGGGACTGCGCAGCAACAACCTGTTGGGACATGGTCATCACAGTATTTTTCAATCTAGCCATGTATTCTGACACAGCTTCATGTTGCACCTGCAGATTTTTACACTCAAAGGGCAAAGTTATGATCTGACATGGCATTCTTCTCCCTGTCAAAAGTTCATGAGGGCTCGCATTTAAAACTCCACTCGGACTGGACCATATATGAAATAACACCATAGGGAACGCCTCTAGCCAATTTAACTTTGAATCCGCACAGACCTTTGCTAGTCCTTCTTTTATCGTCCTGTTGGCTCTTTCCACCTTTCCCTGTGACTTAAGATGAAAAACTGCTCCAAACTGATGTCTGATCCCAAACATCTGTTCTACTTCTCTAAGTTTTTTGTTAGAAAAATGACAAGCATTATCAGATTTTATGACAGCAGGTACACCAAACCTCGGAATCACTTCACGAATCAACCACTTTACGACCTCAGCTGCTTTTTCTGTCCTGGTTGCTACCGCCTCGACCCAGCCCAGAGAACGTGTCCACACAAACCAACAGAAATCTCTTTCCCTGAACTCTGTTTTCACTTCCCATGTCTGTAAAGTCAATAGAAATATCTTTCCATGGGGACGCTGGCACGGGAAAAGCCCCAGGCCTGTCTTCAAAGTTGCTTTCGGATTGTGTAAACAACAGATCTCGTACATCTCTACAAAATAGTTAGAAATAGCTCTGAGATTAGGATGCCACCACATCTAAAAGACAATATCAATATCTAGCATCTTTGAACTATCCATGTGCTCTGCTGTGAACCTCTTGACACAACATGTTTACCAACCTTTCTGGAGCAACAACTTTCCCTTCATGACTCCTATAGAGTCCTTCACTATCTTTTCTAGCTCCTCTGTCCAGCCAAAGCTGTTTTTCTGACTGAGTTGCCTCATTCTGCAGCTCTACTATGGTCTGAACATAAACTTTTTCCTCAAAATGTCTTCCTCACAAACATCTCCACCCATTAACTGAGCCATCTGTAGCTTTCCCACATATCCTGCATGTTTTCGCTGCCCTGTCTTCCTCAAAATTTCCTACTGAGACTAGACCACATCTCTTCTGATGTCCTCGACTTTTCAGCACTGCAACTCCTGCTGGTTCTCTCAGTCTTGTGAGAATGTCCATCTGTGAACAGCTGCATGTCAGTAGGCTATGTTCCAGTGGGTCTTTAAAAATGTTGTCATGGATCCTCATTTCTTGGTCAGTCACAGCCACACAGTCATGGTCTTGTTGTGTCATCATTTGTGTAGCCATGTTAAACCCTTCAGATGAGAAATGAATGTTAGATTTATCCAACAGCTGTCTTATAGTTTCTGTTCTCTGTGGTGAGAATGTAAATACTTTTGAGTCAATGAAAGATTTCACATCGTGTATAGTGTGTACAATAACCTGGTTGCCCATTGTTACATGTGCTGTTTTCCAAACTGCCTTAGAAATGGCTGCTGCATGCCTCACACAAAAGGGGTGTCCTGTTTCTACCTGATCAAGCTGGAACTGTGAAACATTGACACTCGCCTCACTTTGTCTTCACCCTTTTGATACAACACTGCATTCACAAATCCACTATCCTCATTTACATCTAGGTGAAATGGTTTTGAATAATCTGGGCTCTGCAGTGCGCAGACATTAGCCAATGCCATTTTTATTTCAACAAAAGCTCTCTCTGCGTCCTCTGTCCAGAGTAAAGGGGAAATATAGTTTTATAATCTGCAGCTGTTATTAACTCTCTTAGTGGGGCTACTTTACAGATAAACTCAGGCACAAAGGATCTGCTGTAGTTGATCAATCCTAGAAATTTCATCATTTCTCTAACTGTACCAGGCTTAGAATAACACAGAATGGAACTTTTTTGCTTTTCTGTCAGCTGAAAACCAGACGATGACATCACCCTGCCTAGAAATGAGACTTTCTCATGACCAACCTGCAACTTCTGTCTAGAAACTTTAAAACCGCACTCTGCCAAGTGTCTCAAAACCATCTCTGTAGCTTCTAGGATACTCTGTGAATCTTCTCCACACAGTAAAATGTCATCAACATAAATCATCTGTGCTGTCGGTGGGAGGGGCAAATCCTACAGTTTCTGTCTCAGAATGTGATTGAAAATCGACGGCGAGTCAATAAACCCTTGTGCCAGCCTTGTGAACTGCCACTGTTGTGATTTGTAGGTGAAAGCAAATAGTTTTTGACTGTCAATGCCCAAAGGGATGCTAAAAATTGCATTTGAGAGGTCGATGCATGTAAAAAATTTGTGTTCTGGTCTCACTGCATTCAGCAAAACGTAAGGGTTTGGTGTGTCGTAGTTGCTGGGAATTACTACCTTTTTGATGGGTCTTAAATCCTGAATAAGACGGTATTCTGCTGAACCCGCTTTCGGTACTGGGCAAATCGCTGTGTTACATGGCGATCTAGCATGTACTAACACCCCCTTATATACCAAACCATTTATTGTTTTTTTTTCAATCCCCTCAATTTGTTCTTTTTTAAGACGATATTGAGCATGAAAAATCGACAAGGTCCCCTCTCTCAAAACATTTTTTACAGGCTCCACATCAAGTGTGCCCACATCCGTGCTGTTTTGTGACCACAATGATTCAGGCAAACTTATTAACAGTTTTTCTGTGTCAGGGTGGTCAAGATTTTCTGTGTTGTTTGTCCTAGAGACACGCTTTTTTTCTGGAATTAGTGTTGTGTAAGAAGAATGCTTAATTCTATGTGTATTTGTTGATGCTGAAAACAGTAAGTTTACATTTTGTGTGCTAACCCAATCTGTCAACGACTGGAAAGCTCTGATCAACGGGCCCAAGTTCAACTCACAATCTCCAGCCACTTTCAGAGTGACATGCGAAGCTGACACGTGACCCAACTCATAGAGTTTGTTCAGCGAGGATGGCAGCTTGACTTGAACTGCCACTCCAGCCAGAGTGACGAAGATGTCCCCCAATTCAACAACTGGAAAATGTCCTGTTTCAGCACAGTGAGTCTGAAGCCCATCACAGACTTGTGAATACTGTTCATTTTCATCAAGGTCATAGTTCATTGTGCAATGCAGTTTGACAGGAGGTGTCTCATAATGTCTCAAAGAGTCAATCCATGGTCCCCAATATGACAAAGAGTCCTACAACGGCAATTTTGGGAGATTCTGGAAGCAAGCCCCAATAGATGAGAGCCTCTTTTTCATCTGGCCCCGCCTTTTTTGATGCCCCCAGCAGCATCTGGATTGGGGATTGTGTGTTTGTCACACAGACTTGAAGTAAGCATCAGGGAAAGAAAGTGCTACTTTGTTAGGAAAAAGCAGGATTCCCACATTTTGTTCACAAAAAATGTCTCTCCTGGTTCACAGGACACTGTGTCGACACCAAAAAACTGTGAGAAAACCTTAGATTGTTCCAAACACAGGGACAGGGACGTGCACAGATAGACGTCAGGTGGTGCTCGAGCACCTGCCCTTTTCCCTCCAGACCATAAAGTGCCCCTGTCGAATCCGCCTTTTTTTTTGTAATGTTCCATCTGTCGCCCTTGGTTGCACTTCTTATTAAGTGTACAACTATAATGGCAACAGTATTAATATTATTAATAATAATATTGACCTCACACCCTCCCTTCACCACCCACACGTGCCGTGCGCGCCCGTAGCAATCCTGTGCGCTGTCCCCCGGTGAAGGAGGAGAGCTGCTGAAGCAGCTCCTTTCTCTTCTCTCATCCACACAACAGAGGACAGTTATAAACAGCAGGTAATTTACCCCCCAGGCAAACTGTGCAGGACTGTCTCACGTTTCACTCTTGTCCCGGCGACGCGCAAGTTGAAACAAAGTCCCGCATTTGACTGATCAAATTATAACAAGACATAAAAAGAAGAAAAAAAAAGAAAGGGAAACAATCGACAGACGTTTTTTATTGGCTACAATTTACAACCAATAGAAAATGCCTCCTTATTTCTCTCTCTGCATTCAGAAGGAGGAGGAGAGAAGAAAAAAGGCATAATAAGGCAAAGACGCAGCGGCTGCCAATCAAACGCGCAGCAGTGTGTCCTGCGCGCCACCGCCACAAATAAATATCTGAACACGTGAAAGAAAATAGGTTTTATTTATGCAGAATGTGATGGAAACTATGTCAAAAATTCAGCAAAATAATAACTGGAAAATATGTGCGGAAAGTGAAAGATGATTCTCAGAGAGAAAATTGCCAAACTTTTTTTCCTGAAGGAAAACACACCGTGAAGCAACTGCCTGTAAGAGATTCAGACAAGAAACTTACAGTTCAGAAAGCTGCCTGTCAGTCTGTGGACAGACAGATAACAACACAGACCTGCTTATGGTTTTATTATTTTTTTTATCAAGATAAAAAATAAACTTAAAATATTTTTAACCAAAGCATTTTTTGATAAATTTTAATAAAAATATGTACTTATTTTTCTTAAAAACCTTTAAAATACATTGTTGTGTAATAACATCCAAAGCAGAGAGGAATGAATGTCTAATGTGTCCATATTAAAATAACACACTGTGATGGCCCACAGGATCTGGTCCCACTTTTTACCCACTAAACCTCAGAGGCTGAAGCCAAACTTCACTTCCTGTTGTCTGTAAAGACTACTGAGGCTAATATTAATAAAATTAATTTTGAAATTTTCAGTATTCTTTGATTTTAGTGAGGAAAGAGAATTAGCTTTAGTTTTATTTTTCTGCATTTTCTTTTCATGTTAAAGTCAAACATTGAATAATGAACGCTAACAATGGGTTCTTTTTAAATTTAATCTCTTCTTTGTCAGGTTTTGTGTGTTCTGAATGGAACATAAACCATAATTTGGAAAATAAAATTAGTATAATAAGAATAATTTGCTTCTGTTTCAATAAATATTAACAGAAATTGGCTCTTGATCTGGACTAAGTGTGGAAATTTCGCCCCCTTGTGAATTCGACCCCCTGTGTTGAGTGTTATGCTGCGTTCACACCGAACGTAATTTCAGCTTCAAAATCGCATCCAACGCTTC